GATTTCTGTGATCTAGACCGATCTCTAGTCTCTTGCACTCACCCCCGATCGGGATATAAAATATTATACTGCAAATCTATTTTTATTGAAAATTTACCTTTGCAGACTGAAAAAAATTTTATAAGAAAAATAAAAATTAATATCAATTGCATTTAATTTTTTAATTAAAAATAAAACTACCAAATAATTTAATTTAAAAATCAAATAAAAACCATAAAACCCATAGACTTTTCCCTTATTTAGTACAACAAAAATTTAAACAAAAGTGTAACAAAAAAAAGTAAAAATATCCCGAAAATTTATATTCTTTTGTTGTTTTTTTGTACAAAAATTAGAGTGACCTATAAGACACAAAAATTAATTTAAAAAAAAAGAAAAAAGGGTTCAGAAAAAAAAATTTTTTATTAAAAAAATTAGATTAGTATTTTTAAATTTTATTTAAAAATTAAGAGGTTCTTTTTCTCAATTTCCCTTTATTTTTCTAATATTTAATTGGTAATAAACTGGACGATTTCTATTAAATGCTAGAGAAGTTGTTGAATTTGTTTTTGTTAAAATATTTAATGGAATGATGAGTATTCCGTTGTCTTCTTGAATGTTAAAGAATAAAATTTGAATTTAAATTTTAAGGAATTTTAAGGAATATCTGGTAAATAAAGTTAGTTATCCCTATTTATTCTTATCTAACTTAGGTAAACGGTGTGTTGTAGAGCTGCTCAAAACTTGAGACCTAAATTTAATTGACAGGCCCCCCAAGACCAAAATAGATCAAAGACTACCTCAAAGACTACCTAGACCTTTACTACACCCCAATACTTAGCTTTAAGATAAGAGATTAGACAAATTAATTTCAAATTATTTCATTTTAATTTTTAATTTTTCCGATTTCTTTTACCTTTATTATCATTTAACCAAAATAATTGTTCAGGAAAAGTCCCTTCTAAACATTCTATCCATATTGGAATTGGCCATACTTGTTGTTTTTTATTTACTCCTTTCCCCTCCTCCTCCTCCCCCTCTTCCTCTCCATAATAATAAATAATTTTTGGTTTTTGTGAAATTAAAATTAAATTATTTAAATTATCCAAATTAACAAAAACAATAGGTAAAGAAGGTAAATGAAGCCAAGAATGAAGAAAGTTGGCTGCCATAGATCCATTGACAAGATTATTATTTTGAGGTGTAATGTCCTTTAAAATAATTTAAAAAACTTATTAGAAATATTAGCAATCCGTGAAAAAAAATAGAAAATTGTTTTAATTAGAAATCGGACTTGTAAGGTCCACCGAGAATTTTGATCGTTATTTTAAAAAATCTCCGTTTCGATTAGCGGGTTTTATGTTAATTGAAAAGTCTGCAGATTGTGCACAGATTGTATGGACAGATTAAACAGATATGGCATTGATATGGCATTATATACCAAAGGCCCTTCCGTATTTTTACAAACGGAAGACGGAACAAAATAAAAAACTAAAGACGGAAATGGAGGGGTTAAAACATAATCGGAAGATGGAAGACTGAAAAGAGATTCCAGCCTTGTTATATACGGCGAGATTTTAGAGGAAATATTCGTTCGGGAATTTTAATTTAATTGTTACCCTTTTATTTTCCTCATAATTTTTAATATTTTCCTCGTCATCAATTTTTTGTAACAATTCAATAAAATCGCTAGTTTCTGCCGATTTAAATTGAAAATTAAAAACAAAACGGCGTAAAAGTTTTTGCATTCGTTTAGCGCCAATTAAAGAATCTAACATTTCAAATAATGCTGGGCCTTTTCTGTAGACTGTACCTAAATATTTAGAGGGAAATTTTGAATTATTCATCAAATTGACTAGCTAAAATTTGTTCTAACCTCTTGAATCGAAAGGCTAATTTTATCATTTAAATAGGCAAGGGACGTGCATATTTGGATATTGTCCGAATTTAATTTGGATGACCCTCCCCCCTATCCCCTAAAGTTCTTCACGCAAACTTTGAATTGGTTGAACAATTCCTTCTGCTGCCTGTAATGCCCATTTTTTATCTACAATGGGCGTTTCACTTAAATCTGTTGCTGGGTCAAACACTATCGGGCGTTGTGAAGCCATAAATGTACTCAATGATTCTGCCAACCAAATGGAATCCCACCATTTCTAAAAAAATTAATTTAATCACTCTGATCAGACCAAATTATCTAAGTTAATCCCTTTATCCACTTTCCCACAAGTTAGTCCAACCCTAATCTTTCTAAGAAGAGAGAACTAAGCAGTGCTGTGTTTTAGGCGTTTTGTGCTTCGCTCCTGGCATTCCTAAACCTTAGCTCGGACTCCAGCTGGCTCCGATCAGAGGTATTTTCCGGAGCCAATCCAGGAGCCATTCTTTTACCCGAGATACTAAAAGAATCAGTTAATCCTTCAATCTCTCCCTCTTTCGAATCAAAAGAGTCAACCAACCCACCAAAAACTCACCATAGTAACTAAATTTCCAAACCATTGGTGGGCCATTTCATGAAATAAAGTTTTTTCGAATCTTTTAATATTTTGTTCAGTATCGTTATCTAAAGGCCACAACTGAAAGCTGATTAAAAAGGAAGTTACAAAAATTATTTTGGAAATTAACCGCTTCTCGGACATTTAAAAGGCCAAAATTTTCCATTCCGTTTACCTTAAAAATATTCGATATCATTTACTCCAACGCTTATAAAATTAACAAATGAGAAGCTAGAACCACAAAACTTTCTACAGACATACTCAACATGCTTATCTAACTTCTTTAAAAATTTCAGAATTTTCTGATAAAAATATCAGAATTTATGGTCAAAAATCAGAATTTTCATTAAAAATGCCGATTTTTGATGGTTCTTTGGCTATAACTTCTGAAATATGAAACCAAAAATTCTGAAATTTTTAGAGAAATTAGATAACACTATTGGGTATGTCCATGCAAAATTTCACGTTTCTAAGTGCTCTCTGGACAATTTTATAATTAAATTTCTCACCCTCATTGGGATGATTAACAAATTTAAACGTGCACTAGTTCCAATACCAATATAATTAAACATTCCTCTCTTTAAATTTTTTTCTCAAAAATTTTAAAAAATTCTCTAAAAATACCTGAAATTTAGCCATTTCTTTTATAAAATATAAACTTTTATTTTTATTATTTTCTATTTCTTTATTTCCGTTAATTAATTGCCAAATACAAATTAAAGGGTTTTGAGACATTTCTTTGGGGAAATCTTCAAGGCTACAAACAATTTGAAAACGGCCAATAGCCAACGAAAATAAATAACTGGAATATTATTAAATAAAAATATTAGCAATTTAGTCCTTTATAACAAACAAAAAATCGTCCATTATATAGAGGTAGTCTAGGGGTTCACTAAATAGAGGTTTTAAAATTCGATCGTTAAAAGAATAGGCAACTTTAGAGTGGATTTCTGAGTAAAGATAGTAGAATCTCTCACACATCCTAGACTTTAGCTAAAACGAGGTTAATAAATAGGACATTGGAATACAAGGGAGAGGGGCTAGATCTTTTAAATTTTCTAGAAACATTCTGAAATATTTAAGAGTTATAAAGCCACGAGCCTTAATGTATTTCATCTCCAATTATTTTAATATCTCCAACTCATTAAATATTTGAAGGTAGGGTTGTCGGTTATGTAACGAACCGAACCGAAAAACCTATGATTTTCCAGGAACCGACAACCCTAGGTGAGAGCATTTTTAAATTAAAAAATTCAAACGTTGGAATAGGAGGAATTGGCTCAAAATTGCAAATACTCAAATTCCCATTTAATTGTCTACAAAAACTGTCAGTAGCAGAAAGTACTTTATAACTTGAAAATAAAAATAAAAAATTATTTATTTGATCGACTTGCCCATTCAAACCCCTCAGAAGCAAATTTGTTTAATAACCAAATTTCTAATTTAATTGCTGTTCGAAAACGAGGCTCATCCCAACAGGGGAAGAGGCGACGGGCAAATGAAGGTTCGAATAAAGAATTGATCCAAATACCTCTTTCCTGTAAATTTTTTTAGAAATTTGTGTTTTGTCGGACCTCTATAGTGTGTACACCATCGTAACAAGAAAATTGTCCACTAAATAGAGGTTTTACATTAAATAGAGGTTTTTCCTTTATATAGAGGTTATCCTATATAGGGGACCTTCACCTGACAGAAGATTGTTTGTTAAGGGTGTAATTAATAGAGGGTGTTCATAAAATAGAGGACTTTACAATTATAAATTTATTTCAAAAGATCTGATAGAAATTACCAGTAAAAGTAGAAAAATAAGGGTAAATTCAGTTAAATTTAGGCTTACATTTTTATGCATACCTTTTTTTCTAGAAGATCAAAAATTCTAATTTTTTGTGAATTTATAGAGAATTTAATTCTCTATTTAATGGTACCAAAATTATTTTAAATATTTTATTAGAATTTGAGTTACACTTTTAAAAAGCACCCAAGGTATGAAAAGGGACAATTGAAGCCTCTTTTACCCTTTAATTTTTATTTTTACCTACCTTGTCATAATTTCGATTTAAACCCCTTCCATCATTTGAAAACTTGGAACTAAACCAAATACTTAAATAATAAATATTCCCAATTTCCAAATTTTCGTTTAATCCCAAATTTAATTGTTGACGTTTCCAGTCAGTATTAATAGAGGTTAATTTAAATAAATTTTTAATTGGAAAGGCAGATTCGAGTAGAACGTGGCCAAGTTGTACAAAATCTGGAGCTATATTTAATTTAATTAGGGAAGTGTTTTGTAGACATTTTAATTCTGTTTTGACCTGAGAAAAAAATTTTTTTGAAATTTATTTTTACATTTTTTGTCTTCTATACGGGGGAAGGTAATCCTTGGGCAATCACTTATAAAATAATCAGGAGTGAACCTATCTAAATAAAATTTTGCACAGAGACGTCTTATAGTCTTAACTTACTGTTCTAATAATTTCAGAATTTTTTAGTGAAATAATTTTTAAGATGTGGCCGAGAACTGGCTAAAAATCAAAGATTTCCCATTAAAATTATGCATTTTTGACCATAACTTCTGAAATACAAAATCAAAAATTCTGAAATTTTTAGACTAGTTAGTTGACACTTTTTTAGGATATTCAAGAAAAATTTCAAATTTATAGTAGATATTGTTAATTTTATATGTATGTAATTCCCCCAATTAACCATTCTCTTCAAGAAAATTTCGTTAATATTATGAAGTTCCCTAATTAAAGCATGTCTTCCTTTCCAAACCTGTCCTTGTATTGTATTTAATTCTGAATCAAAAATAATTTTAATTTCATATTTCAAAGGTTGTAGAGAATCTGGCAACCTTAATTCTTCTTCTGTTAAGTGTGTGGATAACAAATTTTTTGGTTCAGACGGGGAAGGGTTTAAAAGCTTGGACTCATTAAAATTCGATTCTTTTTCGGTTGCCAACGTTGTTAAATTATTATTTAATTTATTTTTTGAATTATTTTCATTAATTGAGGCATTATTTGAGTCAATAGAATATGTGGACATTTCATCCAAACCGTCCGATTCCAATTCTAATATTCAGAAAATTTCAAATATCCCTAGAAATCATTAATTTACCCATTAAAATATTCCAAATCTCGTCTTTTTCTTCATCCAAAATTTCTGGATCCTTTCCCTTTTTACTCCAATCACTCCCTCCATTAACTCCATCATCTCCTTTAAACCGTTCAAGTTCAATAGAATGAATTTCATAATAATTTAAAATTAAAAATGAAAATAAAAATAAAACAGAAAACTTCATATTAAGTAGAAAATAAATTTTTATTTTTTAAATTATTTTTGTGAAGAAGCTTGGATGGACTTGGAGGAAGTAGACATGTGTGTGTGTTAAATAAAATGGGGGGAATTGGAGGGCTAACAAACTCCTTTCTATTAAACAATAAAAAGCAGAAACAAAATTTATTAGATAAAGAATTGTTGTACTTTTATTACCTCACTATAAAAATAAATAAAAGGAGACCACACATTTCTTTTAAAGTTTGATTTGAAAATTAAATTATATTTTAGTGTAATATTGTTGTTGTTTAAGCAAAACAAAAGTATAAGTTTATATTTTAAAGTTTATTTATAAAAACTGTGTTTAGCAACATTTATTAAAACTTATAATTATGAAATAAAAAGTTGGAGAAAAAGTTGGTGAAGAATAATGTAAAACTTGTTTTACAATTTTACAAAATTTCAAAGTTTCTATAATTTTAAAATTAACTTTTTCCGCCTATTTAATTAAATAAGAATTATTTTTTGGCGTTCTGTATTTATTTTTATTAAAATTAATTTTATTAATTTTTTATTGTTTTTTATTAATTTTCTTATTTTTTCCTTTGTTTTCTTTTATTTTTTAATTTTAGAAAATGTCTACAGAAATAGAAAAGGATTTAGAACGTTGGGAGGATGTCCGTCGATTTACTGAGATTGGCTCTTCTAAATTTGCCCATCCAGCTTTTGTTCCAGGCCCGGAGGTTTTTCTATATTCCTTTTAATTTTCATTTCTTTTATTTTATAGAATCTTGAAAGAGTAAGGAAATGTCCAGTTTTGGTTGTTGGCGCTGGTGGGCTTGGATGTGAAATTTTGAAAAATTTGGTTGATTTTTTTGAAAATTATTTAAAAATTAATTTTTTAAATTTCTAGGCCTTATCAGGATTTCGAAATATTGAAGTTATTGATATGGACACAATTGACCTTTCAAATCTCAACAGACAATTTTTGTTTCGGTATTTTATTTATTAAAAATAATCAAAAATAACCGCTGTTTTCTTTCTCGAAGAAAAATCTGTCCAATTTTTTGGTTTAGTTGGTAAAATTTGTGTTAGATCTTTTTGGTTGCAGGTTCGAATCCTTTCTCGAGAAAACATTTTTTATTTCAAAGAAAAATAATTTTTTAAAGAAATATATTTAAATTTATCCTCTTTTATGATTAAAAAATTTTTTTCAAAATTTAGAGAACACGATGTTGGTTTATACAAAGCAGAAGTAGCTGCCGCATTTGTTCGTAGACGTGTTAAAGGATGCCGGCTTACTGCGTAAATATTTTTAAAAATTTCAAAATTAATTTTTAAAAATAATTTAGACATAATTGCAAAATACAAGATAAAGGACTTGACTTTTATGGACAATTTTCAGTTATAATTTGTGGACTAGATTCTATTGATGCTCGAAGATGGTTAAATGCTACAGTGGTTTTGTTTATTTTTTAAATGTTTTTTAAAAAGTTTTTTTTTGTTTTTAAGTGTTCTCTAGTCGAGTTTGACGAAGAAAACAAGCCACGGCCAGGCACAATTATTCCACTCATTGACGGCGGGACTGAAGGTTTTAGTGGGAGTGCTCGTGTAATTCTGCCTTATCACACGCCTTGTATTCAATGTACAATAAATCTTTACACACCACAGGTTTGATTTATTAATTTTTCTCTTAAAATTCATGAGCTTTATTTTGATCCCTTTTAAGCATCCCCAAATCCTTTCCAAAATCTATCTAAACCCTCTTATCTGCCCTTTCTAACCGTTCTTTTTCCCTTTCCTAGTCAGTTTCATATAAGTCCAGTTAACCCTATTTTGTGATCAAACTAACAAACAACGTTCTCTTAACTCTAAATTTCGGCTCTCCTGCTGTTTAAGAGGGCTGCCGTTCTCTGACCATTATGAGTCTAATTTTTGTACCAAATTTTGAACCACCTTATACTACATGTGAAAAATAAATGTTAGTAAGGAGCGAAGAAGGATTAATTTTGATTGATAAAAAAGAGAAAAAATACATTGGTTTTATAGAACGGCGGCCCCCTTAAACAGCAAGAGTGCCCAAATTTCATGTATTTTTTAATAAAAAAATCATTTTAATTTCTAAATAAATTTATAGGTTAATTATCCTCTATGCACAATTGCCCATACTCCCAGATTGCCTGAGCATTGTGTCGAATATGTTAAAGTTGTTTTATGGGATAAATGTAAACCTTTTGGTGAAGGTATTTTTATCTTTTTTTTATTTTTCAGAAAATTTTAAAAAAACATTTTTAGGCGTTTCATTGGATGCAGACAATCCCCAACACGTTGAATGGACTTTTAGAAAAGCACAACAACGTGCTAATGAATATGAAATTTTGGGTGTTGATTTGCGTCTAACACAGGGAGTGTTGAAAAGAATTATTCCTGCTGTAGCCTCTACTAATGCTGTTATTGCTGGTTTATTTTTTAATTTTTTTAAATTATAGGAACTTATGCAGTTTGGGTACACACCCCATTTATTCGCGAGACAGCCCTCATTTATCAGGCAAATTGACTTATCAACCCGATTATTTGCGAGCTAGCAAGAAGCTCTAATACAGCGTAAGCTCTCGACTCTTGCGAGACGTGTGCTAGTTAACATCGCACGATGCGAGGAATTATGCCCAAGCGTTTTTCCGACCTCAATATGGTTACTTTGACCATTTTTAGCTTGCGAATAAATGGGGTGTGTACCCAAACTGCATAAGTTCCAAATTATAATTTAAAATTGATTTAGGTTGTTGTGCACTCGAGGCGTTCAAAATGGCTTCAAAGTAAGTAAATTAAGGGATCACTTTGAACCTTGGCTTGAAGTTAGAATTTTCTTTTTTTGGATAAAATGTTTTTAAAAAATTAAACTGCTTTTGGAGTCCGTTTTTGTGCCCGTCTTTTTTTTTATATTTTTTTGAAAAAATCCAATTACATCCTTTTTTTGGGTACTTTATTAATATCCCGCCCCCCACCCCTATTTGAGTCTCAGATTAATTTTCCTTCTTTGCTGTCAATCATTTATTTTTCCTCCTTTTTTAATGCCAATCATTTTCTTCCCTCAAATATTATAAGTAAAAGGCAAGTTAAAATTTACGGGCTACAGTCCAAAAGAGCGCGCGGCCATAACGGCGCAAAGCCATAACTTGCTGGAATATTTTTGGCCATTGTCCTTTCTGGTATAAATTTCTTTAGCTCGATGAGAGGAATCGTTTAATATTTATTTTGGTAAGGTTGGAAAATCTTGAATCAAGTTATGGCTTTGCGCCGCTAGAGCCGCGCGCCCTTTTGGGTGTCCTATATTTGAGGGAAGAAAATGATTGGCAATAAAAAAGGAGGAAAAATAAATGATTGACAGCAAAGAAGGAAAATTAATCTGAGACTCAAATAGGGGTGGGGGCGGGATATGAACAAAGTACCCTTTTTTGATAGCTAAAAATTTTAATTTTTAAGCGCTTCAATTCCAATGCAGAATTACTTGAATTTTGCAAATGTTGAGGGAATATGTTTTAATGTAGTACCTTTGGAAAGAGATCCAGATTGTTTTGTTTGTGGAACAAGTCAAACATTAACATACCATATAGGCGCAGAACAGACTCTTGGAGAATTTATTGAACAGTTGAGGAATAAATTGTAAGGTTTTTTTTTGTTTATTTTGGGAATTGGTTGGGCATCTAAATATAATTTTACCTGGAACCATAGAAATTCATATTATAAAAGAGGATTTTGGCACCTCCATTTTTAGTTCAAAAAAGGCGTTTACACTTCCCTTTTAAAACGAGGAAGTAAAAAACTTGGAGAACTTTGATTGGGGGAGGGCAGTGTTTATTTAAAAAACAGGGACTTTTACCCTCATTTTCCTTTTAACTTTATTTTTCGAGGTAGGGCTAAAAATGGTCAATTTGGAAACCTGTGGATACAAAATTATTCCAATAAAATTATTTTTTCTCTTTTTTTAGTCATTTACGAAATCCATCAGTTAAAACAAGCGATTCTTTCCTTTATGAAATTAATTCACTTATTCCACAAATGGAAGCTACAAGTAAATCAAATTTAGAAAAAACATTGAAAGAATTAAATGTAATAGAAGACTCTGAATTATTAATAGCTGATGGGTCTTTACTTAAACCAATTGTTTTTCGAATTAAATATCAACAACAACAATTGGGTGGATAAATAAAAGGGAAACAAATTTTTTTAATTAAAGGCTGGACAAGACGGTAATATTGAAGGGTACGGTTCCTCTTTTTTCCTTCCCAATTTTCCCCCTATATTTTTACAAAATGGTCAACTTTTTTTTCTTCCATCCAATTTGCCTTTCTAATTTTTGCCTGTTTAAACAAAGGATTATTTAATTTTATACAAGTGCAAGTACATGCAAAAAACAACTAAATTGGATGGAAAAAAGGAAAAAGTCGACCATTTTGTAAAAATATAGGAAGGAAATTGGGAGGGAAAAAGGGGTCTGTACGCTTCAATATTACCGTCAAGACTTTAAAATGTTCTTTAAATTATTTCAAATTTTGAAAATTAAATAAAATATTTTCAAAAAAAAATTTTTTTAATTTTTAACGGTTAAAATTACGTAAAATTATCTACTAATTTTTATTAACCCTTTACTATAGATTTTCTCTTTACTATTTTATTATACGCTTTAAAGACTGGCATCTTCCTTGTAGAGTGAACAAACATTTACATTCTCTCTCTCTCATTTTATTAATTTTCTCTCTAATTTAGCTCTCTATTTTGTAAACTCTCCCAAACACACACATTCCTTTTTTTCTTCCCTTATTATAAATTTTATTGAGAAAGAGTAAACGTCTCTATATAAGAATTTTTGTTTTAAAAGTTATTTCTCTCTTTAAATATTTTTTTCTAAATCAATAAAAACGCTCAATTTAAGAGACGTTCAAATTTTAAATTTTTTTAAATTTTAGATTTAATTAAAGAAAAATGAATATTTGTAAGCGCAAAGCTATAAGTTTAGAAACAAAA